CTGAATGAAAACTCAAGGCGAAGCAGAAGAAACTGAGGCCTTGGCAGCCCAGGTGGAGGGAGCCTTCACTGTCTTTGCTGGCTTCACTCTTCAACTAAAGGTTTGAGCAGAGGCTGGACAGGGATTGGTTTCCATTTGAAGGGATTTCTCTGACTGTCAGGATGGGAGCAGAGAGGCTTGTTGGCGGCTAGGGCAGGGCCTCAGGGGAAACCACGGTGGCCCTAAGCGGGACAGTAAGAGTGGAGGGGAGGTGGTGTAATCCTGCGTTGTGTGGTTCTGAAAGCAGAGACAGCAGGACTTTCTCTGAGAGTCTGTATAGGTGAGAAAAAGAAAAGTCCTTGAATGATGACTCAAAGACTGGTTAATCACTCAACTACCAAAGGTTAGAGGTTCAGGTACACACAGAGGTGCCTGAAAATCTTCTCAAACAACTAGCCCTGGAAGCCCACGGAGCACAGCTCTACTCAGTGCACATGAGGTGGCTGTGACTTGTCTACTCAACAGAAAATGGTTTGTGAGGAGAGAGGTCAATGACCGCATCGCCTTCAGTGTTCCAGGGACTGTTAGCTGAGCTGGAGAAGGCCCGGGGATGAGCAGACTGTGGTGGGAACCAGGGGTCACCACAGGAAGGGATGTCCATGCTGATTATCAGAGTGATGCAAAATGAAACAATCTCATGACTTCTAAAACCAAACTAAACCCGCCGTCACGTCAATTCCAACTCCTGCCAATTTCCCACCAGTTTCCGGGGCAGTAAATCTTTACAGGAGGGGATCACTCGTCTTTCTCCTACAGACCAGCTGGTGGACTTGAACAATCAACCTTTCTGTTAAAAGCCAATGTTGTAACTTTCAGATGGAAAATTCCAATGATAGATATTGCCAAATTCTAGAGGAGTGATGGTATTTGGAATGGTTTCTCTATAAAATCATCTTAAAGGAACACAGGTAGAACACAGCTTAGAAGGAGAGGTACTGACAAGCTCTGGTGGCCTAGTGGCAAGAAGCTGTACTGCAATCTCAGAGGTGTGTGGTTCAAATCCACCAGATGCTCTCCTGGAGAAAGAAGGACAATCTCCTCCTGTACCAGTCAGATCTGATTTGACAGTACACACACACTAATCATTTTTTTTTAAATTATGAAAAGATTTTTTTAAAAAAAGCAGAGGTGCCAAGGTTTCATCTCACATACTTTGGGCATGTTATAAGCAGGAACTAGTTTCTGGAGAAGAGCATCATTTTAGGTAAAGGAAAAAGTCAGTGGCAAAAGAGGAAGACCCTCAATGATGGATTTGCATGGTGGCTACAACAGCATTAACTGAGGGGGTGGTGGTGGACCGGGTGGGGCTTCACTGTAATCCAGGAACCTATGTGAGTTGGCACCAGCAGCCAGGAAATACAAAACCATATTGCGATGGGAAAGTCTGCTGTTAGGGACCTCTCCAAAAGCACTTAAGAGCAACGGTGTCTCTCTGGAGACTAAGGTGCACCTGATACAGGCCATGGTCTTTGCAATCACTTGTTATGCATCAGAGAGTTGGACAATGACTAGGGAGGATAGAAGGAGAATTGACACCTTTGAGCTGTGGTGCTGGAGAAGAGTATTGAATGTACCATGGACTGCCAAGAAAACAAACCGATTCATCCTAGAGAGGGTTAAACCAGGCTGCTCCTTGGAGGCAAGGATTCTGGGGCTTCGTCTGACATACTTTGGACATGTTGTAAGGAGGGACAGGTCCTTGGAGAGGGACATCATGCTGGGTAGGGTGGAAGGACAGCACTGGAGGGGAAGGCCTTCTATGAAGTGGATTGATTCAGTGACTGGGGTAATCGGGATGGGTATGTCAGAGGCCATGCGATTGGCACAAGATAGAGCAGGGTTTAGGGCTGTTGTACATAGGGTCGCTATGAATCGCAAATGACTCGACGGCACATAACAACAACAATGTGAGTCAGAACCGTGTCGACAGCACCTCCCAACACAGAACCATCTCCTTGGCTCCACGACGATGCCTGAAAGGAGCCTCAGACAGGTTCTAAAATAACTGCAGGTTGGATACCTACCTCCTGTGTGGTGGGGGGAGTGGTGAGTGATCACAAAAGAAATCAATGCCAAGAATTGTTATAAATGACTACAAGTGGTAGACTAGCAGCATTATGCATCTTGAAAATACTCATATTGAAGAAAAATATCCATGTTGAATTAAAAAATGTGAAATACAAAGCAAGATCATTAACAACACAGTCCTTTATACTGAGTGAAATACCTCAGTCACAAAAGGACAAATACTGTATAACACCACTGTTACACAACGGCGGCATGAGGGTTGGAGGGAAACTAAGAAAAGAGGAGATAAATAATGGACACTGCATTAAAACAGATGAAGGAAACACCAACTTAAAAGGAATATATGCTTAGGCATTATTCGTATAACAACAGTCAAGGTGGGTAGCAAAGTGAAATGAGAGAAGGGTGATGGGAGGAAATTATGCAACAATGAATTTTTTTTTAAAGTGAACTGGGGGAAAATTAAATGGAAATAATATGCTGTAAAAATAGATTTGTTGCATTTAAAAACCATTAATAAAAATTAAAAAACAAAAAGAAAAGAAAAGAAGAAAAGAAAAAAGGTGCAAGCAGGAACCAAACCTTAGTCTGAACTCTAGGGGGAAAAAGTGAACTGGAGAGTAGGGAGGAAAATGTGCAGGAATGAAGGGATGAAAATCCAACTTTTCTATAAAGTTTCATTAAAACTATAATTTAAAAAAAAAAACCCAGTACATGCCATTTTAAAAAATAATACCTAAGTGTACTACTGAACAAATGATTTTTAACCCATTAGAATAGTTGTCCACAGAGCAGGAAGAAATGAAATGAAAATGGGATAAAAAGGACCAATGAGTCAACTTTCCGAAAGTGATGAACCGAGCGTGTGCAGATGCGTGTGGCCCATGGAATGAGGAATGTGACCAACCAGTGCCGTCAACTGCATCTAAGGGGAGGAAGCCGGATGGACCGTACTCGGTGTTCTCGCTGATCAGTTGTCCGAGGACGCTGTGTGCGTGCTGCTGTTGTGAGGGTCCCCTGCCCCACGGAGGGAGGTCCTGCGTCATCCTTGCCAGCTCTCTGCGCTTGCAGAGCACCGACTGTAGCAGTCAAGCTGTAAATCCGCCTTGTGGAGGGTCTTCCTCTTCGCGCTGACCTTCTACTTTGTACAGCGAATAAAATAGATCCTCATTGTACAGACTGTGACTAACGGCTCCATGGAAAGGAGAGCACGTTGCATTCGTTCAGTTATTCCATCATCAGACATTTATTAGCATCCCCGAGTCACCAGGAGCACACCTGACGAAGCACACAGCCTCTAACGCTCAGATTTTACACAAACACGTACAGGCATTAAAAAAGTCACAGCAACAGTCGCTTCAGGAAATGGGATACAGAGTGTGCTTCTGAGGCTTCCAGCAACCCAAAAGGTACTTAAGAAAGGATTTGTACTAGAATAACTTACTAAGTACACATCTGTTTCATGTGCTTTTTCTATCTCTGTGTTTTACTCTAGAATTTAAAGCAAAATCAAGAGGTACATTTTAAAAGTACAGTTTTTCCAAGAAGAACACAAAGTTTGAGCACAGGAAGGTCAGTTTAGAGTGCCCATGATTTATGTAACAGTCCGTGATCTCTAAGGAGGCAGCGAGGGAAGGACGTAGTTACTTTCAACAGGGTTCCAGCAGTGGAGACAGATGGTGAGGTGTACCAGGCTGATCCTGTATGTTGCTGACAAAGCTAAAGGAATCTTCCGCTGGATTGGACATGAAATAAAGGAATCAAGAATAGCTGAGTGCATAGCTTTTTGCAGAACAAGGGAAAGAGTAGGGTAGGGATAACTTGGAACAGAGGAAATAAGCGTGCCAGCTCTATTCCAGCTCAGTTAAATATGTAGCAAAGAAGTTGAGCAAAGAACTAGAAACTAGGTTTGTAGTCATGAAAAACTATTTGGGTTGTGGCATTAAAATAGACAAAGAGGGAAATGGAGACGGAGGTGGAGAAACAGAAGAAGGAAGGTGTCAGCATATGTAGGTTTTAAAAGTCCTAGAATTGGGTGAGATCACCTGGGAATGCTCAGAATGAGTCCACTGAAGCCTGAGAAGCAGGAAAAAGAAAGATCCTTTTATACAGTGATAGAGGAGTGATGTAACCCTTAGCTCTAGAATTGCATCCTAAAAGCTGCTCTTCAGATTATCTATCTACTACACGCCATTCCTTATGCTCCAAGTTTCCCACAGAGTATCTGCAATTGTCAAAAAACCCACACCTCCTGTGTAGCAGCAGCTTCCGTTCGAGCTGAAGTAACAGGAAGGTAAAGACATTAGACTCTTCAAACTCCCTTTTCTGGTGAGTGTTGAAGTCCCACATGGTTGACCTTACTCAGAAGCTGTCCATACTGCACCTCCTGATACAAAGAGAGGTTGTCAAGTCCACAGGTTAGATGAATCGAACCACTTCAAAGACTGTCCGTCTAACAGGACACAACACAGAGTGCCCGTCTGTCAATTGGTTTTAAAGTGGTAGCTTGCATATTGTTGTGGTGCTGAAGGGACACAACCAGCAGGTCAAATCCCAGGAGGTCTCCCATGGGGAACAGGTTCAATAGCACTTTCGTGCTAAGACTAATGCACTATAAAGGCCTGGTTAATGTACTGAAAAATATCAAATAGAACATATGATGCCAAAGGAATGTTGCCCAGTATAGTGCTGGGATGTGAGCCCTTGAGTAGAAAGCATTCAAAGCACACAGTGCCCACGAGGTGAGCGTGAAGACACCACAGGACACGGCGTGGAGTGGACTCTACACGAACTAAGAACCACTGGTGACAGAGCAATGGGAACAAATCCAGCTGTAACGCGCAAAGCTGTCTACAGATATGTGCATCTCATCTACCTGTCAGAGGCTGAGGAGAAGGGCTATGTCAAGCCTTGTTCAGAAATTCTCTGAATCTTCATTTTTCTTCACTAAGTTTTGCAAATATTCTCTGTAGGGCACTCATTACTTCCTTGTTCCTCCAACTGTAGATCAAGGGGTTCAGCATGGGGGTCACCACAGCATAAAAGAGAGCCACCATCTTCTCCTGGACAGCCGAGGAGCCGGCCGCAGGCCTCATATAGGTGAAGATTGCTGTCCCGAAGCACATGGAGACCACCGTGAGGTGGGAGGCGCAGGTCCCAAAGGCTTTGCGGCGTCCCTGTGTGGAGCGGATGCGAAGGATGGCAGCCACTATCCGAGTGTAGGAGAACAGGACCAGGAAGCAGGGGAGCATGATGACCACGAAGCCGGAGATGGCCACCATGACCTTGTTGAAGGAGATGTCCACGCAGGTCAGCCTCAGCACGGCCAGCATCTCACAGGCAAAGTGATTAATGACATTACGACACAAGGGCAACCTGAATATGATTATGGTCTGCATCAGGGAGTTGGAGAAGCCAGCTGCCAGGCAGCCAGCAGCCAGCCTCAGACACAGCCCTCCGTGCATGATAGCTGTGTAGTGCAGGGGGTGGCACACAGCCACGTAGCGGTCATAGGCCATGGCTCCCAGCAGGAAGAACTCTGTGCCACCCATCGCCAGAGAGACATGCAGCTGGAACACACAGCTGTGGAATGGGATGGACTTCCAGGCTGAGAGGAAATGGACCAGCATCTGTGGGACAGTGCTGTTGGTATAGCAAATGTCCACAAAGGACAGGACGCTCAGGAAGAAGTACATGGGGGTGTGGAGCCTGCTGTCCAGTCTGATGAGGAGGATGACGAGGGAGTTGCCCACCACAGTCACCAGGAACATGGCCAGGAACAAGATAAAGAGGGTGACCTGTGTCCTCCAGTCACTGGACAGTCCCAGCAAGAAGAACTCACTTATCCATGTCTGGTTCTTCCTGTCCATGAGCCTCTGGAGACAAATCAAAGTTGAAATAAATCACAGAAGCTGAAGGTGGCTGAGGACCTCCCTGGGTCATTTAGACCAAAGCACCATCTGATTCTAACACAAGACACAGTTTTGGTACCCTGAAGTTTCCAGGTCACAGATCTAGAAGTTTCTGGAACACAAAAGATGTCCCCAAAACAGAGACATGATCCAGACTTTCTTTACCTGTTCTTCAAGTGGGGAAAGATTTTAGTGAACTATCAAGTATTTGCATTAAGATTAGTGGCCAATTTCATTTCCTTCTTTAGACCAATTTTCTAACCCTGGCTTTATGCACTTCTTTGTTGAATTCCTGCCTCACTATTTCAGAATCCATATCAACACAGCACAGCATCAATTCACATATTTTTTAATGTTTCTTTTCACTTTTGGCTTGAGAAAATGTGGTATTCCATTTTTAACCTTTTGCAATTATGAATTAGGAGTTTGACTTAGAAGAAAGCAGACAAATATCAAAGACATTTTTACAAAACAATGTCAAGGATCACATTTCAGAGTTGACAAAACAAAGAAAGAAAAGCTGGATGAGAGTTCAGCTTTGAGAAGCCTTTGGTGCTGAGTCTCACCCAGGTGGTCTAGTGAACAGAGGTGTATGAGGTACCACTCCCTCCTCCCTGAGCAGAGCAGGGCAGAGATGGGACAACAGGTTGTCTGTCAAAGAGTAAAGCAAAACGGAGCTCTGGTGGCCAAGTGGCAAGAAGCTCTGCTGCAATCCCAAAGGCACATGGTTCGAATCCACTCCACCAGATGCTCTGCTAGAGAAAGAAGGGCAATCTCCTGTGCCAGTCGGATCCGATTCAATGATACACACACACACACACACACACACACACACACACACGGAGTAGAGCAAAGCTGGAGACCCACCAAGCTATTTCCCACAAATGGTGAGAATTCAAATACTACCATCTTAGCCTTTAGCTAAGGTAAGGAAAACTGACTGCACGTTCCCACGAATTTTGTTAGTGCGAATCCCTGGTGGTGAGTTATGATTTAGAAACTGGCAAAAGAACTAATTGTAAAGAAATGGACACATTGAGTATTAGATATCTCTCTCCTCTC